CAAAAGCTCACATAAGGGTCCAGCAGGTGGCATGGTGGTTAGGGGCACTGGACTCTGGAGGCATGTTTGACTGAGGTTCGAGTTCTAGACCTGGCAGCTTGCTTTCTCACTTTTCTTCTCTCTCCCTCTCTGCCCTTCTCTGGTCAAATTAATTAATTAATTAAGTTACATAAAATAATTCTTAAAAAAAGAAAAAGCTGAATGGATACCGAAATTCAGCTGTGAAATATTGCTTTCCTTGGCCAAAAATGAAAATTTTCTGCTAAGACTTCCCTCTCTAGGTACATTTTTAGTGGATAGGGCTACCTTTTCTCCTTCTCTCTATTTCTCTCACTGTGTCTCCCTGAGATTTTTAATTTTTTTTACAAATTTTTAAGGTAAAGTATTCTCTGGGTTCTCAAGCCCTTCCTTTATTGTGCTAATTGGTGCCCTTCCTAAATGAGATGGGGAAAGACACACCCCAGGCCTGTCCTGAGATCAATGCTGAACTTCAGCTGTGAAATACTGCTCTCCTGTGGTATGCATGGTTTTCCTTTTTTGCTTTTTACAATTAAAATATATTTTTTATTATCTTTTTTTCTTTGTCCTTCTTGATTTTATTTTTTCTTCTTCTTTCCTCTTCTCTAATTCTCTTCCTTTCTTCTTTATCTTTATTCATTGGATGCTCAGCCCCTAAGCACTAATTTTCTAGACAGGTTCAAGTGAACAGGATCCAAACATCTGAATACAATTAGGGTCAGAATATTCCTCTATTCCCACTGAATGTGATATACAAAGAATGAAAATGGAACAGAAGAGAGATTGCATATCACCTCCTTCTGCATGCCTCTGAATGCTCAGATTAAACTTCTAGATTAGGAAGAAATGCACCACCCTTCAGATGACTAGAAATCACCCAGGGTCACAAAATATATGAGAAAGCAAGAAAATTCTTCTTCTCCAAGGGAAAATAAAAACTCCTCTTCATCCATAGATAATACAATGAAACTCATGGAAATATCTGATTAAAAACTTTAGAATAGTCATAGTGACAAAGTTAATAGAGATGGAAGAGAAGAGAGACTATGAACTGCAGAAGAGGCAGGAGAAAGGAGCTGATGAGTTCCAAGAGGGAGGAAATTCTTGAAAAATCTAAAAGAGGAAATACACAGTATAAACAAGAATCATATAGACCTGTTAGAGATTGATATCCCAGAAGGAAAAGAGATTCATAAGGGCAATGATAATCTATTGCATGAAATCCTGGAAGAAAAATTTACAAACCTGGAGAGGCATTCAAAGATCCAGTCCCAAGAAATACAAAGGACCTCAAATAGAATCAACCCAAGAAGATCTTCTCCAAGACACATTATAGCCAGATTGACCAAAACCACAAAGACAAGATACTAAGATTGGCAAAAGAGAAATGACAAGTTACCTACAAAAGATATCCCATCAATCTAACCATCAAGCTAACAGCAGACCTCTCGTCAGAAACAATGTAAGCAAAGAATAGAAAAATATATTCAAAGTGTTAATGGAAAAGTAATTTCAACCAAGAATACTGTACCTGCAAAATTATTCTTCGTATGAGAAGAAAAGACAATAACATTCTCAGATAAATAAAACCTGAAAGAATTTACCAACACCAGATCAGATCTCCAAGAAGTTATCAAGGGAGTGCTATACCAGGAAAATCGAATACAGACACACAGAAATAAGAGCTCAAAAACTAAGAAAATGGCCAACTTAATCATAGGGACAAGTCTGGAGTTGAATATTATATCCCAGAATTTAATAGGGAAGATTGAACCACAACAGAAAATAGATTAAGTACATGGGACTGAACTAGTGAAATAGCATTTTATGACTTTTGATTAAAACATTGCTGATTTTCTCCTAGGTTTTGTTTTCCAGTTTTAAGGATTGTTGTCCTGTCTTGAGCTGCTGATAGGTTCATGTCCTAACCTGTTTCTGGACTTTAAGTTTTAAGCAAAGTTCTTTAGCATTTCTTTGATTTATTAAAGCTAAAACTGCTTTTCTTAAAATTAAAAAATATATGGAAAAAAACTTATGTAATGGCTGTAGTATGCTATATAGCATCAGCTAGTTGCTACCTTATAGTATATTCATTCTACTCAGTTTTATGCCTAAAGTCAGACATGTATTCACAGATATGTATATACCAGCTGAACTTGCTTTAGAAAGTAATTAGATTATTTTTAAAATTTTGTGAATCAATAAAATGTGGGGGAAAAAAGGAATGTAAAACAACTGTAGACACCTGAGGTAGTGTGGGAGGAGGGTAGGGAAATGGCAGAGGGTGAGAAATAGGGGTAAAATATGTACATATATATACATATATATACATATGTATGATACTAGAAATGGAAAATTATTGATGGTAACATATATGACTGAGCCACTGTGCAGTGTATCCTGGATGGGAAATCACATTTTGTATGCTGTGATGATAATCAGGGAATTAATGGAGATTAATTAATTAATTTTTAAAAATGTTTTAGAAGAAAATCACAAGACACTTGTAACTAGATATTCTAGCTTTGTCCATATTTTTAGTTTATGGTATTTTATGAATCAATAAAATATGGAAATAGTTTAGTATAGAAGGGAGAGAGTGGAAAGGGGGCGAAAAAGACAAGTAAAAGCATGCTTATTTGACAAAAATATGAGAAGCTCTTTGCTGATAAGTTACAGAGTAATATCTTTGGCTTGACTGACATGCATAGTATCTGTGCTGGAAAAAGAAATGTTGTATACTGCAAAGATGTAAATAAATAAATTAATTTAAAAATAAACAATGACAACAGAAAAAGCTCACATGAAAGATAAAACCTGAGGTCACCTGGTGAGCAGCGGTAGTAGATGTGGACGACCCCCTCGTCTTCATGAGATTCTGAAAGCTGCGTGCTGGAGGAGCACCTGGAGGAGGCTATGTCCAGCTCAGCTGTGGTGACTGCAGAGTGAT